CCAATATCCCCCTAAGCATAATCTTCTTGCGCTGTAGAATTAATTTGAGTGCTCAACCTGTCACAGCCACTCAGTAAGAGTGCCGCCTATGCCTGCTCTCTGTCCCCCTTCTCCATTCATTTAAGCTGTCACAGGAACTCACCTAGTGTACTGACTATGCCCACCCCTTCCTTCTGCCTCCTTATTTAGGAGCTGTACTATAGCTTCCATTAAAATGAAAAGCTTTCTTTAAACATAGGATGGACAGCTGAATGAAAGGCCTCCTTCCTCTATTCATAGATTACCTTTTATTGATGGAAGCTATAGTACAGCTTAAATGAATGGAGAAGGGGGACAGAAAGAGCAGGCATAGGCGGCACTCTTACTGAGTGGCTGTGACAGGTTGAGCGCTCAAATTGATTCTACAGCGCTGGCATTAACCCCCACAGCACTGGAAGCCTATTACTGTGGGGGGTGCTGGGAAGGAGGGAGGATGGATTTCAATTAATGGACCAGTCTCAGCACCACTCAGGCAACACTCCACACTGAATGCAAGTATCGTTCCTTGTGCTGATTTTTTTAAATAGAAGAATTTTTATATCTTGGTGTAAAGTACAAAACACAGCCTTGATATTCATAAACCCTGGGACACAAGCTAGTACCTTCAGGTTATTGGACACTGGGAAAGCCTTCCTGGACACTACCCCCTGGGCATACCCCTATAACCCTACCCCACTCTGTAAGATTTCAGATTTTAAGCAAGCAATGCAGAGTAACTTGGTAATAGGTGGGAAGGTGTTCTGTGTCCTGTACTGTAACTCAAGATATTGGCAAGTCAAAATTCCTATTATCTTAATCATACAATACAGGAGACAGGCTGGAAATTCAAAGATCCTGGGACAACCTCAAGAAAATTATTAAGATTAGTGGGCAAGAACAAAGCAAACAGATCTGTGCCAACAGACCCAACAGCAACAACAAAGGTCAACAGATTCAACTCAAAATGCTGCTGCAAGAACCTTGCAGCTAAAAGCTGAATCAACAGACGCTTGGATGTCCACCTGGTAGAAACTGGAGAAGGTATGAACTGAGACCAGGTAGTGGCAACAGAGACTTGATGTCAGAATTCCCAAAAAAACTTACCAATATAGTGGAGTGAGCACATAAGAGTGCTGTATTTTGAAGCAGGATGTCCTTTTAAAGACATGACAAAAAGAGTCCTTATAGAAGCTGAAGCTTGTAGATAGCTTTGACAACATTCAGACAATGAAAGGCAATCTCTTTAGGGTGCTTAGGAGTAGGACACAAAAAGGGAAGGGCAATGTTTTCATTAAAGTGTAAGTTAGATACCATCTTAGGCAGAAAGGTAGGTATAGGGCATGAGAATACTTTATCTTCATTCAGGAATGGCTCCTTACAAGAGGGAGCCGTTAGTCCAGACAAGTATCTGAAGCTGCAATGGCTTTCAAAACCAGCAAACCGCCCATTTTTTGTGTGGATAAATTTCATCGGAAAATGAATCATAGTAATGCCGATCATGTGATCATATTAAGTGCCAGTTACATCCTCACAAGGAAGTGCAGGCATAAACGGTTAAACTTAAGAAAATAAATTATTTTAACAGTGATTCTGACGGAAATGGAATGACAGTCTTCACCAACTGGAAAACATGCCCTGTAAAAGATACCTAAAGTATATTTAAAGTACCCCCCCCCCTTATTAGATATAGTAGGGATTGGTAAGATCCTTTTTGAAGACTGACCTTCACGTTCTGTCCTGCAGACACAAGGGGAAGTCACTCCAAATAGAAGTAAATCCTCCTTCTAGACAATGGTCAGCAATCAAGTGCCCCCATCAGAAGGGATCCTCTCTATTCCTGTTCTAATGACAACTCCAAATATAGAATTGTACACCTCTCTTTTAGTCTTTGTGACAGTCACCAGGACAAGCAGAAGGTGAAGTTTCCCAAGCTGAGACCAGACAGCCCTAAAAATTGACAGTTCAGGAATTTAAGAGACACTGGGGGATGACATTCCATACAAACAATGGGCAATAAGAACCAGCAAGTCTCTGATCAGAATACTGTGGTAGACAAACGAAACCAGCGCTCCAATCTTCATGCAAACCAAGGAATTGCCAAAATGCCAATCGAAGAGGTGCTGCCCTTCTGAGATCAGGAAATCTGACCACTGGTAAATGAAAACAAACAAGGGCGCACTCTCATCGTGCATTACCGTGGTATACCACGTAATTTATTAAATAAAAAAGGATGTATACTCACAAACCAACGTGATTAGTCTCCTCTTGAAAATTGTGATCTGAATTAATAATTTTTAAATAATAATTTTTAAAAATATATATATTTTTTTTTACCCCTCCCCTCTTCTTTTGTTCTGGTCTGTTCCTGTCCCATTTTTCTGCCGTGTTCATATTTTTACATGATTTCATTAAATTTATTTAAATTAATTATTTATATTATCCATGTATATAATACGCTATCTGGCTGAATCACTTATATATTATTATCATCATTTTGGAAATCATTTTGGAAATGGTATACAATCTTTTTATTTTTCAAAATATTTCTTAATTTTAATTTAATTTTATTTATTAGCTTTTAGCATATCCTTGTGTTCTATGATGCCGTGCATCCATGTTATTCATACACGGTTCTTCATATTAATTTAATTTATTCAATGTATTTTATTCTAATATACCATAACATTAGGTTTGCACTTTGTAATGTACACAGTGAATACTTTTGTATATTTTTAAAAAATATTTTTTATTGCTATATTCAATTGCTGTATCATTTTATTGTTCTATCAGCCTTTCTTTATGCACATATTTTTGTATTGTCATTTGTATTCTCCAACATGTACATTTTGAGGTGTTTCTGCTGACCCAGCCTGTGTCCCACTGTGCCCTTTTGGGTTTTTTTTTTTTTTCTCTTTCCCGTTTTCTTGTTATTTTTAATGTTTAGGTTTTTCATCTATGTTATTGCAGATGCACCCTTTTGGCCACTATTGGCAGCGCAGCCCTGGTGACACAACAATCTATATATATATGTTTCCATCTCTTCCTGTTGGGATGCAGGACCTTTGTGCGCATGCGCAGCCCACTTGTTTGGAGGGTTGGTGTGCGCACGAGGCACCTGTGACCATGGGCGCGGCAAGTTTTGTGTGGCGCACGGCGCGCATGCGCCAGCGGGTCACGTCGCGCCTGCTTCACGTCATGCGGCAGGGCACTCTGGCGCATGCGCAGCACGTACATTGGGTGCGGTGTACGTGCGATGCACTCCCATGGAGTGTAACGAGGTGGGATTCCCACCACCACTACTATCATGAGCCCTTGCAGCCCCCGCCCTGCATTGTGGTGTGACAACGCCGTATGCTATTTAGTGTACCCATTGTGTACACACATGTTCACCGGGCGTTGGCAGTATATTTCCCTCATTAATATGTCAACATAGTGCATCTACCATCAGGGTCACAAGTTCAAGGGTGAGTGCTTCTCCAGCATTTTCTTTTTATTTATTAATTCACTAATCCATTTATTTGCAATACGTTTTATTAATAATTATCTACTATATACTATGCATCAATTTCTTTATTTGTTAATTTTTTTTTTTTTTTAATTTAATTTTACTGATTATTTATTGATTATTGATTATGTATCACCCATCCTAACATACCTTATATTTATTACATATTAACTAATGTGCTCTGCATACAGCATACAGATTGATGTGTGATGTTGCTGTTTCGGGGTCCGTGTCATTTTTTTGCCTTTTTTTTTTTTTTTGGTCAGCTGATAGTGGGTGGGAGTGTCTTTTGACATCCCATTAGTATATAGGCTTGTGGTCAGCAGACACACCTCTAGCTCTGAGGAAGGGGGTTCAGCTCCCGAAACGCGTCAACTTATCCGCATCACTAGACACAGTTGTATTGTGACTGTTTTTGTGGATCACTTATACTGCCTATAATCACGTTGGTTTGTGAGTATACATCCTTTTTTATTTATTAAATTATGTGGTATACCACGGTAATGCATGATGAGAGTGCGCCCTTGTTTGTTTTCAGAATACTGTGGTGTAGGATTCTTAAAACAGAAGGTACTCTAAGTATTCCCTTATGCTATACTTAAGATAGAAAGTCTTAAAAGTCGTACAAAAAAAAATATTTTTCAGCTTGAAAACCCACAACCAACCCCTTATTAAATTTGAGTCACTAACATTTTTAGCACTTAGAAACTGCTGGCATACAGCATAATTAAATTCTTGTGACTACAATAGTCAGTTCACTTCCGGTAAATAACTATATTTATTTTTATGATGAGTAATCCACCAGCTCATAAGTTGTATTCCTTTTAGAGACTTACAAATAGTTGCATGCTCTTCTAGAATTTCAATAATTAATTTAAAAATATCCCATGACCCAACAAGAAGGGAATGATTATCTTAACAGCAGGATATTCCTTTACTGTACTTCAATTATCAACACCAAATGCAGACTGTGCAGGAAAAATTAAATGTGTATTTCTTTTTTTATATAATAAAACTGCCTTTATTTAATTGTACAACCTTTACCCCAACGCTGTTTCAGCACGCTGACAGTAAAATATAAATTACTGAACTGAAGGAATATATTGAAACACTGAGCATGTGAAATGACCTGAAGACTTCTTTTCTTCTGTATTAGCCAGCTTACTAAAATGAACTTTGTTAACAGAAAAATAAACTGTTTAAAAGCATGATCTGAGGTTCTCTTTTAGAAGCAAAGTTCAGCATAAAAAAAAAAAAAAAAAATCAAAATCTATTTATATATAACATAATAGGACTTTCCATAGGCATGAAACATGCACACATCAATAGTTCACAAAATCCCTTAATTGCTGTATTTATCCAGCAGCTTCATGTGTTGATTCAAAGAATATATCCATCTTCATGCTCAATATAAAGAAGGAACGTTTGCAAGATGTCCATAATGGTGGCACACCAAGAGGAAAACAGCCTTAGATGATCAGGAAGTTCCTTGTCTCTTTTGCTGCTGACTTCTAATGACATCCAGCTGTTTCTTGCATTGCTGATAGTATGTAGAAAGACTTTTGTTTTCGTCTAGAAGCTTTTTGTGTGTTCCTGTACCAGACGAGATGTATTTTGTTGGTCTTTTTCATCCTGGTCTAGTTCAGCAATTAGCTCTTGTCTATAACATGGCACAAAAGATGAATAAATGTCACAACTATAACACTGTTAAAGCCCAATACGCATGTTCATACAAACACTAGCTACTTTCTGTAGCCAACAACTAAAACCTGCCAAAACAACATAAAAGAAAATACAAGCAGGGTACTTAAAGTGTATGTTCTACGAAACCACAGCTGAGCTACTATTAAGCCTTGAAGATTCCTTAGCATCTAGATGCCAATGATGCCCAGTGTTCACAAATCCACTTGGTAAAAGTAGCCCAGTGTTACTAGCAGACAGTGGTGTCATTAACATTTGACTCCTTTAAATATATACTGTAAATCATAATTCTGGAAACATTTGGGACACTGCTCTGAAGAACAGATTCCCAACTTATATTTTGTACTAGAAAACCTTTTTTTAAAATATATTTTTTCATTAGATAAATTAAGAAAATATACGACGAGGGAAAAAAATCGATTTCTCTAATTTTTTTCCATAGTGACAGGGAATGCATGGGAACATTTTACAATAAAGTATTTCATAAAAAAAGGAGTAGTGTTGTGAAACTTTAGATGGAAAAAGTAATTTTTTTCATGTCATCTTACAAAGCGCATAAACAATATTAAGGCCTGGTTCACAATAGGATTCACATGCGGTTCATTGGGATGCGATTTGAGCTTCATTTTGAATGGGCTCATATAACACTGCACCAAAAGCAGAGCATGCTTTATATTTGGAAACTCACTGCACTTGCAACCTGCGCTTGGTGTGTCACTAAGTGAACATGGTTTGTGCTGCAGATTGCAATTGCAGTGCATTTTAACTGCGGTGCGGGAAACACATGCGGAACACAGATTTCATGCACTGCATTCTGGTGTGAACAGGGCCTAAAAGTTTAAAATTTAAAAAGTAAAATCTGCTACAATATCTACAAGAAATTGCTACTTACTTTCGCTGCAACAATAATGCAATTTCAGTCTGAACCTTCATATACTCTTGTGCCATTTTGCAGTGCTGCTCAAACACAGCCATAGATTCCTTGGAATTTGGACAAGGTGCGAGAGGCTGAAAAAAAATCAGATGTGATTAAAAACCAACTGATTTATAAACATACATCCTGCAAAAATGCTTTATGCTTGTAAGCTCTTAAAAATAAGCTGTGTCTTGTCCTGGAAAATCATAGTTCATGGATTCTAAACTTGACAGACCTGAGTGCTGTTGTTCTGAAATACTTTGTAGATAAATTAAACTGGAATACAGCCCCCACCCATTCCAAACCCTTGGTGTTCTGTCAGAAGGTCCCTGGGGAGTGATGCTGCAGCAGAGCCTGCTGCAGTCAGTTTCTTGAATTGGAATCTCCTCCATCAGCAGAGAGAGTTTTGAGGGTAGCTCTATGAATTGGAACTTAAAGTAGAATTCAAGTCCAACACAAACTAGGCTACTTCTGTTACCTATCCTGTTTAACCTGTGTAAAAAAGATCTGTATAGTTAGCGATTTTTAGTCCTCTCTGGTCACGTGATCCTGCAGCTCTGGCTTCTATGCGTCAGTGAGGAGCTGATACAGGGGAGAGGAGGGAGCACCAACAAAGGCTGGAACATGGAAGCCTATGAGTGATGTCATGGCTCCCGAATTCCCAGCCATTGTCTAGTGCTCCCTGACATAGAAGGTGGAGTGAGCAATTTTTAAGCAGAACTAGTAATTCCAACAACAGAAGGTGGAGATTCCATTTCAAAAGGTATCTGTTAAGGATGCACCGGTACTTTTGGTCAAGTACTCGGCAATACAGATACTTTGTGATGTAATTTGCGTTAATGGATGCAAATTTCACCACAAAGATTAGCATGCGATTTGAACTGGAATGTGATTCCTGTCCAAATCGCATGTGGTTTCCCCACTGCTCCTGTGTGAACCCAGGCTCGTCATAGCCCGAGTTCACACAAGTGCAGTGTGGTGTGGGAAACCTCCTTACATGCATCCGATGCTGAGTCTCTGCTGTAAGAGAGGAGAGAAAGCGGCGGGGACTTGAAGGCCGCTTTCTTTCCTTTCCTTGCAGCGATAACAGTTTAGGCTAGACATCATCTGATTGGTCAGCACCATCCATGTGATGGATTTAAAATCCCCGCCGCTTTCTCTCTTCTCTACCAGAGACTCAGCATGGGATGCCTTGAGGGAGGTTTCCCATACCGCTCCTCTGTGAACTCGGGCTATGAGAAGCCTGGGTTTACACAGGAGCAGTGGGGAAACCGCATGCGATTTGGACAGGAATCGCATTCTTGTTCAAATCGTATGCTAATCTTTGCGGTGCAATTTGTGTCCATTAACGCAAATCGCACCACAAAGTATCAGTTAAGGTATAGGCAGTATTTTCACGAGTACTCCTCAAAATACTCGGTATCAGCATCAATACCGGTATCAGTGCATCCCTAGTATCTGTTATACTGGACTGTGTAACCATCCTGAATGGTGATAATCCAAAGATGATTAAATATAGTAAGGAGTAAAAGAAGAAATAATGGTTATATCATGGTCACTCACTCAAGGAAAACAAGGAATTGTGAACATTTTTAGGATTTGGTTCAAATTCCTGTAGTGATCTTATTCAAGCAGAGTGCAAGCTTTACTCTTCAACCTGATGACTGACCATGGTAAACACAAGTCTGCACTTTACCATACACCAAATACCTATAAAGTCTGCTATATCTTACATATCTGTAACTATTCTGAAAAAGAAGCCTCTGCAGCAAAAGTGGTCTCGAGCTCTCCTTCCACATACAAGAACTAAAACATTTAAAGAGAAGTATGGGTCCCCCCCCCCCAATTATACTTACCTAGCTGTCCCCTGCCAGATCCAAGTGTGAGAACTGAGTGATCACATGACTGCAGATCACGGAGTTCTCCTCTCCGCTCTGAGCAGAGAGGGGTGGCTGTCAGTCACCGCTGTCTACTATGCCCCCCAGCACTCACTGGAGCGCTGGGCTGTGCAGGGGGAGGGAGCAGCTGGCTCAAGCTCTCAGCGCTTCGCTGAGAGGCTGAGCCAGATGCAGCTCCAGACTCTGGGGTGGGTCCTAACTTTAAAGTCGGAATCTTTCTCCAGCCTGGACTGGCTGAGTGACATCAGCCGACAGTGGGCATCAGTCTGCCATCAGCTCAAAACGGGTCACAGGAGTGCAGAGCGACTGCACTGTGAACCACAGAAGTACATCCAAAACAGCTCTTTAATTCTAACACTTGCTTTGCATGTAACAGATTACTGAGACAAAGTTTAAAGCATAACCTAAAAAGTCATGATTACTAGGGTCATGACACAGCAATGCTATATTGAGTTGCTGGGAATTCTACACAGTACTATGATAAATGGACCAGACAACAAAAAATACTAATCAAAAGGTTTGCTATGCATGAGTAACTCTTAGTGGATCTTTTTTTGGGGGGGTTGGGAACTGTTGCCCACTTATTATACAAATAATTTGTTAACAGCATGTATGTAGCACAAATAATTTTTACAGCAATTTATATACTGTACAGTCACACACAGTTCCCTCACTGAAGGATTTGGGGCCGTATCTTGCATGAACATACAGTACATACTAAAGCCAATTTAAGTAAAGCCAACTCACCTACTAGTTTGTCTTTTGAAAATATTTCCCTTTACTTACATAATTATAAAATCTAACAATTTCAATGATTTACAAACCTGCAATTGATGGTCGAGTGTAAGATATGCCATTGGTATAGAGTTATCTGATCCATTGGTATCTGGAATGTAAATGTAAGCATTGGAACTATGCAGTAAGGCTAGTATACATTATATTATAAAATAATGTAACATGTAATTCTTTTTTCATGCCCTGGGCTGAAGTCAGTCCAGAACAAACATAGGTTTATATAATGCATTTTCCCCCCAAAATACTCTACCATTGCAAACATTAAGCAATAGCAGAATGGATTATTAACCTGGTCTACAGTAAAACTACATATTATACTTTTGTCTCTGTACAAACATTAAAGTAGAACAAAAGGCAAAACTTTTTTTTAGTTTTTGACAGAGTAGAGATGGAATAAAACACCTTTTAGGTTTTTATTGCTATCCTAAATCATTACCAATAACAAAACCCGTATGGCATACGGATATATATAGTGTCTCTTGATATTTGAAGAAATGACATTATACAACACTCTGAATGTGTGGTAAACTCGTGACAGTCTTTCACAGGTCAGAATAGCAATGGTGACATTGGTGGTACGTATAGGTGTAGATTACACTAACCAGATAGCGCTAATTATTGCGCATATGAATGATGATACATGGGTCATCTACAGTTGGACATCTAGGATACGGATCGTCTGATGGACAGCCACAGGAATTCCAACCTATCAGCCACTCTTCCAGATAATAGCAAAGCGATCAAGATCCACCAGAAGGAGCCAGCAATCAGGATGTCATCACAGGTCTTTAACCCAGCATCAGGGAGTATGTAGTACACACGAAATCCACCAGGGGGAGCTGGCAATTAAGATGTCATCCAGTGGTCTCCTTTTAAGAGGTCCACGTGGACCCCTCAGCTGGCTAGGTGCCAAAAGTGTTTTTTTAACAAGTGTGTCATTCCTTTTAATTGATGTTCTTCACAATAAAGCAGTGTTGCACTATGGCATTTTCTGTGCTTGGGCTCATTCTTCTATGAACCTACCTCTTAAAAGGAGACCACTGGATGACGTCTTAATTGCCGGCTCCCCCTGGTGGATTTCGTGTGTACTACATACTCCTTGATGTTGGGTTAAAGACCTGTGATGACATCCTGATTGCTGGCTCCCTCTGGTGGATCTTGATCGCTTTGCTATTATCTGGAAGAGTGGCTGATAGGTTAGAATTCCTGTGGCTGTCCATCAGACGATCCGTATCCTAGATGTCCAACTGTAGATGACCCATGGATCATCATTCATATGAGCAATAATTAGCACTATCTGGTTAGTGTAATCTACACCTATACGTACCACCAATGTCACCATTGCTATTCTGACCTGTGAAAGACTGTCACGAGTTTACCACACATTCAGAGTGTTGTATAATGTAATTTCTTCAAATATCAAGAGACGCTATATATATCCGTATGCCATACGGGTTTTGTTATTGGTAATGATTTAGGATAAGACTTCTCATCCTAGCGATGCATGTTGATATATATATTGCATTTAGAAAGTTCTGAGGTCATTGCCTTTCATGCTAGCTGCTCCACCCACACAGATCTAGCGCTCGTTTTTTTGCATATATTTAGGTTTTTATTGCTGTCTGTGCCCTCGTTAGGGAGGATCACCCTGTTTGTTCTGCTTACCATTATCATTGAAAGTGAAAGTATATGAACATTCCAAATTTTGGGTTGTCTCCAGAAAAGTATTGTAGGGAAAATTTTCCAATGGGGTCACTGGTTCTGATGACCTGGGGGGTCCCCCAAGAGATTTCCTTAATTTGTAGGAATTTCTTCTCACTTCCTATTTTGGCTATGAGGCAGGAGTGAAGGTAAATCTCCCCTATGGGACACAGATGGGGGAAAAAAAAAAAAAAATCTACAGGGGGTATAACCCTCCCATACTCTATCCAAAATGAAAAAAAAATTGCCTACAGTTCCACTTTAAAAAACATTAAGAAAAATGAATGAATTGAGTGAGGATATCCCCATACTGTAAGAATAGTTGCAATGTCTTAACCCCTTCACACCTAAGGGTAAAACAAATCTTAAAAAGTAAAATTTTACAACTTTGATATGTGTTAGTAAAACCGTACATATCATCACAACTACTTTGTACATCCAGGTGAATTATACCTTGTTTTTTTCAGGACAAATTAGGCTTTCATTTGGTGGTAAATGGCAATGGATATCTCTTGATTTTTTTTTTATTATCAAAGGAAAACTGGCCCAAGATTGTAAAAAAAAAAATCATCATTCTTTTTAATTTAGCTGTGTGTTTGTTACTACCATAACCTACCACCACAGAACAACCCAAAATAAATGTTCCAGCTCTTGACGATTGCAGCAAGACCTTATATGTGTATGTTATTTGTTTTTTGTACCTGTACTACAGCCCAGAAACAATAGTGTGCATTTTGTTTTCTTACCTAAAACACACGGACACCAATTTAAAAAAAAAAAAAATCCTGACCTTTGACCCTGACTCAAACACTAAACTGGCACTGAACTAGATCAAACCTTGATCTAGGTATTTTTTTACTATTTATTTTTTACAAACAGTATTTTTTTCCCTCTCTGCAAGCAGAGAGAAAGAGATGCAATGTATCTCTCTCCTCCATTCAGAGAAAAAAAAAACAAAAACAAGGGGGGCAGGCTTCACAGTAACTGATCACTGTGATAGCCAATCAGAGGCTATCACAGCGATCATGTGACCTGGAATCGGGAGTCCCGGGTCCTGATCGTTAGAATGGGACCTGGGGATCTCAGTAACACTCCGGTCTTTGTACTGGGAGTGCGCTTTGCGGCATACTCCCAGCACAAAGACAGGTATGCAAATATGTGGCCCATGGAAAAAAAGCCCAGTTCTGTGAGGCCGCATCTTTGTGTGACGTCGATGTCAAGGGGTTAAACACCAAATAAATTGATTCTTGTCAACCGGAAACAAAATTTGGGTAGACTGAGGAGGCGCAGAAGGCATTAGTACTCTAGCTCTGAAACAGCACATTTTCTGTATTTACAGCAAATAAAAGTAGCTCATGTAAATCAAGTTCAGTATACAGGCAGTCCCCGAGTTACAAACATCCGACTTACATAAAACTCATACTTAAGAATGGAGGCAGTGTGACGTTGCGCTGGTCCCAGAAACCGCCGGACGGCCACCTTGCTGCTCACCGCATGCTGCCATCTACTGTCCAGCGGACCTGTCAGCAAACCCACATCACTGCATGGCCAGTTAAGCCTTCCCTATGCTATTGAAAACGTAATTTTGTGTCTGAAGTTACACTTAAAAAATTTACCTGTTCCAACTTACATACAAATTCAACTTAAGAACAAACCTACAGAATCTTGTTCGTGACCCGGGGACTGTCTGTAATAAACTAGTACCACAAATTCAAAAGGATTACCTGGCCAAAGCCTACAATTTAAAGGAGAAGTGTACTCTCTTTTCACTCTTACAATTTCCAGCAAATTATTTTTTTTTGCATGCCTGAATGATTATTTATCTTTGACAAATATTCATTGCCCCCATCTTCACTTTTAGGGCAATAAATTCTCTCAAATTTGTCTATATAAGCCCCCTCAATAGATTCAGCAACCAAGTGTGGTTTAAACTGGGAGGAGTATAATCAGGCTTCCATTCTTAGACTACTTTTCCCATCCACCCTTGCATTCAGAATGCACATAAGACGTGTGTCACAGCCTAATCTGTGATGCCCAGTTGTGGCTATGCTAGAAGTGAAGACTGTCAGTCTTGTTCATATCACAAACATCACTGGCTGGGAAAAGCGCAGGTGTCCCATGATAAGTTATTAAAGGATATTGGCATACAATAAAAGGAAGCAGACTAATCAGTCTCTCTCATGCTGTTGTGCAGAACGCTTGTAAAATCAGTGCTGGCTGGTTCCGTTGATTTTGCACAGAAGAGAGAGAAAAAAAAACAAAAAAAAAAAAAAGAAGAGGAAAGGTAGCTGCTGAGATCTTTTATATTACATGCATGCAGATGTCTCTGCACCACTTGTCTGGGAAGGAATAGGGACGTGGTGCGCAGGTCAAAGTGTAGAATACAATAGGAAGTGCATCCTCAAAGTTGAAGGTTCATCTCCTCTCTACATTTAAGCTGATTGTGGGGAAAGTACAGTTGTCCTGTAAAGCATCTTTGTATTTGCTTTGACCCTGTACAGTTGTACTTTTTTGCTCAAATACAAATTAGGCATTTTTCATGACCATTAGTTCAACCGACATACAGGAGAATGCAACACAAATGATGCAGCGCTATTACCATAAAAATTCTTCACACATAAATAAATAAGTGAAACAGTGCAAAATTAGTGACACAAATAACAAATGTTTTGCCCTGATGAAGTCACGTGTTAAGCGTGACGATACGCGTTGGCGGTGACGCACTTCCGGTCGGACGCCTTCTTTATTTACATTGGACACCCATGCAACGACATCTGATCTGAGGTTTGATTTACATGTGATGTACAAGATGATTTTAAATGTGAGCATATTCGATATGTGACACTTTGTTTGGTGAATAGTTTTACACTATGCAAGCATTCACTTCTATTTTCTGAGGGATCAAGTGGCTGCAGCCACCTTATGTGCCTGAAGAGGAGATCTGCTGCCCTGTGAGCCTGTGCTAGAATCTGTACATGAGGGGAGGTCAGTGTGGAGAGCTGTGGAGGATTACCTACTATTAAGGGTCCATGTGTTAGTGATCCTGAAGGCCTTTTGACCCTGTGCGGGTCGCAAGAGGGAGGTGAGCGGGCAATTCAGCCATTTTTGGATATCTCTGCACATTTATCAGCACCTTTTTTTTTTTTCTCTTCTTCAAGAATTGCTGTGGACTTTATATATGTTTTTTTGTATATTGTCAGGTGTTTTACACCTCACGGGACTTTATATATTCATTCATTTATTCATGTTTGTTTGCATGATCAGTTCTTAGTTCATGCGTTTATTGGGATGCACGTGTGTTTTGTGTTATATGGTGGGAACTGATTTTTTAGTTCTGGTGGGAGGTTTTTTTTTTAGCACATTGAGTTCTGTTGTGACTTACTTGTCTGATTTGGAGCACTATTGGATCCCATTGGATTACTTGGGGCACCATTTATGTTATTTGGTCCTTTTAGGACCTCATATTGACACTTGTCACATGTGATTATTTATGAGTTTTTTGGCACTATTTAATATTGTGTGTTTATGTTGTGTCACTAATTTTGCAGTTTCACTTATTCATTTATGTGTGAAGAATTTTTATGGTAGTAGCGCTGCATCATTTGTGTTTCATTTATAATTTTTGTCTATGGATATATGACTGTATGTAGCAGCTTTACCTTTGTTGGTAGGTATTAGTTTTTAGGTAGGAGCGCAGGAGTTTGTCACATTGAGACATACAGGAGAGCAGACTATAAAAGGCATCAGCTTACCTGAATCTTCGGGACCCCATGGAATACCACGTGGAGGTTTGTCAGGGGTTGGTCCCGAGGTAGTAATCATCCTCACACTAGGGCTTGAGGATCGGCTGCTACTTCTACTCTCCTAAATGGGACAGGAAGAGCAAAATATAACATTACAAGGTTAATTCTAAACACAGCAGTTTAAATAGGTATGAAAGTGGCAATGACATTCAAACAGCCATGAACAGTAATTATATGGCAACCGCATAAAATAATGCTGACAAAATAAAGGAAAATGCAGATCAATATGAAATAAATTAGTTCTGTGCAACTCTGTCCATCCCTGGACACGCCCTCTCTTGGATACATTCCAACTTTTTTATTTCCTTTTGTTGGATGCTACCTATCTGGTTGCAGAAGCTTTTCCTCCATTCACACTGACTGTTCATCATCAAGCTAAACTGTCCAGAAACCTAAACTGTACTATTTTCTATGTCTTATTGTTGAACGGTTTTCTTTTCACACCTTTTTTTCTCACCCTACTTAAGATGAACAAAAAAAAATTGAAAATGATTTTTAAATAATGTTGAATGACACACAAAAACGAGGATAACTCGTAACTGGTATTTTTTGATATCTCAAAACAGCTGTAATGTTTGTAAGTGAAAGGAAAAAAAAGTTCCAAAATAAAACCGTAAAAAAAGAACCATATAGGACTGTATGTCTACTAATCCTAAATACATTTTCATGATGCTAAAAATCCATATTAGTGGTGTGTTAATTATACCATTTGTGATCTGCTACTTATCCCATACTGTATGTTTTACATATGTAATACAGAAGACCGGTTTAAATTAAAAAATTGTATGGATGGTAAATGTGTACATACTAGGATTGTCAGTCTATGGATAAATGCTTTTATAACCCTATGTTACGTTGGGAGAATAATAAATTTTAAGACTTTACGAAAGGTAATAATGGCCAAATAAAAAGCTATGGAAGCCCACAGTCAATGTTATACAATTTCAGGTTACATAAAAACATTATCAGTGCTTCTTTTACACTATTTCATAGAAAGAAAGCACAATATAATTGCACGCATTCATTTGAAATAATTGGTGAATAAAGGAAATACATTTACATATTCATCTAGGCTACCACAGTGTTCCTCACCTGACTGGACTCAGTTCCAATAATGCTGACGTCTTGAACAGATCTGCGCCTTTGCTGCCCGTTGCCTGCTGGATATCAAACAAAAACTAATTACCAAATGCTGCCCCCACATCCTAATGAGGGTTGCAAATGTGAAAGCTTCAAATCTGTACATGTCCACAGGCCAAGGGAAATCGAGGGATCGACACAATGCACGAAAGACAGCTGCAACATTTCAAATCAAGAAGCTCTAGCCAACAGACTATATTACTAGACAATAACCACTCCTATCACACGAACAAGTAGTTCTCTCTTCCACCATCTTCTGTGCATTTGCTGTCCATGGCTGATGACGGCATCTATTTCCAGAACCTTACGTGATAAGGCTGCTGACCTAATGTGTCTACAGCAAACCTCAAAGATTTCTGAACGGCTTTCTTTTTACCTTAGTGAATACATGCCAAATATAAGTCTCCTTTCATCCTGTAACGAAAATAGCTTTAACCCCACTGTCACTACAGCTCTGTTTTGTAAAAATCACTTCTTGCAGTCAATATGTCAGAGAATATAGTAATCATCAACTCCTGCTCATCACCTGCTTGCAGCACTCAGACATCTGCCATCTATGCTCACAATAATAAAATGAGTTTTTAACACAACATATGCCTAAGGGAAGAGGACGTGTAAACCACCAAGGACATTTACAAGCTTTCTTTTCCTTTTAAGAAAGCATTACGTAATGTTTGTTTTGTGCAAGCAGGGAAATCAGTTAGCATAAGGGAATCCTGGATGGTTTCAAGCAACAGCTGAGACAAGGCTCTGAATTCTTTCATCACAACGAACAATTGCATAATGTTTCATAGTAGCTGTAGGTCAAACAGTTGCTGTGGATCCCACCCCAGGCACTGACAGTTTCTAGAATGACCATAAATCTGTCTCATCAGTTTACCCTTACAATACCATCCTTATTCTATACATTACAGTTGAAGTATCAAATGCAACCCAGGCTTACAAGCAGGAGGACAGGTTTGGAAATATGATTGCAACAAAAGGATATTTTTGTACGATTAGAAAATAAAACAGAATGAAATAGACAGAGACAGGTAGACAACTGTGTTTATTTCTTCTTTGAAAGCCTATTTGAGCTTTCTGTGAAACATCACAGCAAGTATATATGCAAGTTATTTACAGTTTTTGGCCTTTTTGATTTCCACATCCACTGGGATGTGCCCGATTCTGAATGCTGTCTTGCAGTTGGATAGCAAAGGTTACATGGGATGCACTTATTGAAACTTAACTCGAGGCATTAATACTGATTTCTAGGACTGCACTGAAGTAGTTTGCTTTACAGAAACCAGTAAGCTCTTGTCAATTAAAAATGTTTAATTAAGTAGGTATGGGGAGCAGCATATTTTTTTTCCACAAGGTAAATTTATGTAATCCACAGAATTTCACACAACTATGCATAAAACTGGTACTTTTTGTTAATCAGCCTGTAGTAGCCACTGATGTGCCAAGTCAACAACTTGGTGATTTTAAAATTAAATCAGATTTGTAAATATTTACAAAAGAATGCAAATCCTGTACTTTTAGATTTTTACACCTGCTAACATTTGTTCGGTTTTTCAGAAAAGTAGTTCAGAGGCTGCTACTCTGCCATGGCAGTGGCAGTTTTCTTTCAAGGATCATTTAACTGTATAACTAAGTGGGATAGGATGCTCTCTTTAGTGTGCCTCAATTCAGGTGACTTGGCTTCACTAGATACCTCTCACTCATATTGTTACAAACTACTATATACATTTTCAATAAATATTTTTTTTTTCGATTATTTGTGAAAATAATGTTTAGGTAACCATATCAATTCAGTAACTTCCCAGCATTACTGGGTTTTTTTTAAAATGACCAGCACATCTACACATTCAGACCAGGAGTTAAAATTTGCTTTTTATATATTTATAGAGGCAATTTCATCAAATTCTGCATTAATAATATATTTAACTAAAAAAGTTAAAAAAAAAAAAAAAAAAAAAAAAAAGATGTGTTACATCTATAGCACACTATGCATAAAAGGGGTACTATATAAAAAAAATTGATGAAATAAACACAGTTGCTTTTGTCTTTTGTTTTTATAAACAGCATGTGATTCTTGCAATTCCTGTTCCTTAAGGTTCTCTAGCTTAATTATTAAGCTGGGAATCCCATTTAAACAATGTGGTTCTACACAGTAAATAAAATGGAAAATACTTAGAAGATACTATAAGGTGTCACAACATACCTGTATTGTAAAAATCATTGTCCCCAGACTGCCACCTGCCCAAAACTCATGTAAATACAAACATTTTAAAACCCATTGAAGTTTCTTTAACTATATGCAAACCCTAACAACTGATATCTCTTCTTTGACCCTTTTATTCTGCTAAATATACCATTAAAAACATTTTATGGTATCTGTTCACTAACTGGATCCAGGATTGGACTACCAGGTAAAATGAGAATGAAAATGTTAAAGAAAAAACACTGCCACTGCATCTAAGGACTGGTAAGCTGCAATAATTATATTTTTGCTTTTGGCTTTAGTTGCACTTTAGAAATATTTTTTGTGATGGTGCTTATGCCCTTATGCTCTGGTGCTTATGTGGCTCAAGCTATGTACAACAAAGGTATGCTGTGACACTTAATGGTGCACTGTAGCTAACTGCAGTCCTAGTTAATTGTGTGACCACTTTAAGGGTTTACCATGAAGAATCAATACAACATGCTAGTATTCACGCAATACATACACCTCAACCAGCAACAGCACTGCTCTAATATTAGAAGGAATTAAACATGACACAAATATTTCTCATTCCTAATTTGATACAGAAGCACTTGAGAATCTCAAGATGCATATGCTGGAAAGGAATGAGAAATGAAGTCACAATCATCAGGGAAGGGTTACAAAGAATAGCAAGTGACAACAGTAAGTGCATGCTATGCAATTAATTAACATGTTTAGTGGAGGACGTTTATTTTGGACATGGCATGCATGTTATTTTAAACGCTGTTTAAACCAACTAATAAGAGAAGCATTAAAAATCAGAATCAAATACTTTTTGCTCCAATGATGTGCCTGTCACAAATGTTCCATTTCACAGAAATAATTGCATTTTATTGCTTGCTTTTAAATTAAAAAAAAAAAAAATGCAAAAATGTTGTATAAAAAGATTGGTTATCTCTAAGGTTATCCTTGTCACTAAACAAGAATAAAGGGGTTTTAGCCCACCAGTAACATTTTCAATGAACCAGAAAAGCATTCGTTCCTTAAAGCAGGGCTTTACCCATAACAACTTTATAAAAAAAAAATACTGTTCTTTAGCAAGGAATGTACACTGAACATTATTAATTATGCTACCAAAATGAGTGTGTGCTGGAAATTGCCTCCTGAATTGTTCTGGTTTCTTTTTGCTGGAGGCTGCCATTTTGCTGAATCCCAGAGCCCCTGAGCATCAGTTAATCCTATAAGTTTGTTGTTGTTGTACTGTGCCATGTATTGTCCCCCCTATTTTACAGCGCTGAGCAAACCCTTTGGCGCTATATAAACTCGTAGTAATAATAATAATAATAATAATAATAAGCTGTCAGCAGATCAGCCTCTACATTTTCGGCACAGTTCTGAAAAATAGAGAGGAACTGAGCAGGTGCTCTCTCCAGCCACAAAGAGGCTGATTTGCACAATGCAATGTGAAAGTGGAATTTATAAACTATAGAATATAGGATTGTACACTAAATTTTTCTTTTTTGTCAATTTTAGGATGATTGGTTCTTTTCAATCATGTGTGTCTTTAACAGTAGCATATATTTAAAGCTGAACTGTCCTGTTTTCAAAATGACTGTTTATAACATTTTTAATAACTATATTGCAAAAATGATTTTAAATGATCTCTGCCATTCCTGATCATTTTGCTAAATTTTCTGCTAGCTTAAGATACATTTTCTGAAAATTGTCACGTTTATGAACCGCACAAGACTTACGGGAAATGTATGCTTTAATTGACCAAGTCTCATTTAAGCGTATGCCCATGTGAGGGCCAAGTTTTATCACTGGGGGATGCACACGAGTTCCATGCATCCCTATGCAGGCAGTCTCATGCATGTCAATTGGGACACAGCACAGACACAGACGCTGCTTTCAATTCGACATACGTGCAGAGCAGTGTCTGCGTTTACACATTTGTCAAAACTGGGAGAAGTGGTGGTGTCTATGCAGGCAAACATGGCCCTCGCACAGGCTTATGCTTAGGTATGCTTGTAGTTAAAATCCAGATTTCCCGGTAACTATATTGTCCAACAGAAAGAGGAAACGCGTCACCTAAAAAGCTTAAAAAATCCTCTTGTGGCACTGGTCGATTCTAAATGAGAACCAAAAAAAAAATGAATCCGAAGCAAAACATATACAACAGAAAAAGAATATAACACTTGCTTGGGAATCCTGCTGTCCTGGAAGATTCCTGGAAAGAGTAATAGGTAAGTAACTCTGGGTTTTGCAGTTCATTTTCCAGGATATTAGAAGGCGAGTGAGAATTGACCACATTAGGGAAGGACAAAAGCCTTGAACCCTCTCTCCAAAACAGCAGACCATGAATATTACACAGATGGAAGCATGTATTTGAACATCTCTCAACAGAGCGATAAAAAACAAAGGCAGGAGATCTAAAAGCTAGGATTATATTTGGGTGGTTGCCATTTCCGCTTAGTTTTCTGGATATGGCACATATAGATATGGCCTTTAATGGCCACTGTGCTCTGCTGGGCTTGCAGTGTGTCCTTGTGTCATTAAGGATGAATGGGCTCCCTCCAGGAATACCTGCCCTTGATTTATCCATTGCTATATGTGCTCCAAAACGGAGAATTTTATAGATAGTAAATCATTTGCCATGTAGAAATATATTTTTTTTACCAAAAACAGTGATTGATCTGGTTAGTGATGTTGGACTGCTATTATTCTGAACACAACTTTATGTGGCCTTTGTTGACAATAGATATTACACAAGCCCCCATGGCCTGTACGTTTCACTGTAAAAAGGATAATTAACTGCTTCCTGTCCTT